GCCGCGGCCCCCTCGGCCTACCTCTAGATCCGCCCAAGTAAATCTTTTACAGATTTAGCTATCAAACTATGTAACAGTCACTGCTAGGAGCCCGTGATAAGAAAATCTAAAGAAATTTAGAACTTAAAAGCGATATCTTGAAGCTTTTATGAATTGAAGCTTTTAACATTTTATATGGTTTTTAAATTTTATCTGTAGATATTATTTGCAAATATTATCTGTAAAAATTAATTTAAATTATCATTTGTAGCTGATTTTCACTTTAGATTACACGATACTCTTGATTAGTTTAACTTTGATTGCTTTTATTCTCTTATATCATACACGTTCACGTGTTAACGAGCACATTATGAGCTCCTAGATCTCACGTGGTTAAATAAATTTGATTGATTTGTCAAATGAGCCGCCTTAGGGGAAATGTTTCCAGGCGCGGATCTAGGATAAATAGTGATAGATTTCCTGGGTTTCTGAGTCATTCAGACAGGATATTGGCCAGATTTTAACTTGGATATTTTTTTTTTTTCATTAAAAATATATTACTTATGAAAATTAAAATTTGACTGTTTCTCCTAAAACGGTGGAAACCGATGTGGATCCGCGCCAGGCTTCCCTTCGATTTTATGTTCATTTAACTGACGAATGAGGTGTGGAGTTCAAAAAATTTTTCGACCAGCAAGAAGTTAACCCATATGGTGAAAAAACAAGTATATCTTCCTTCTTTTATCTAATCAGTGATGGCTCCTCGGATTTTTCCCAGTGTCACGTAATATTATACATATATCTATTCGCTCCCTTACTGTCTCATCCCTATTTTACCATTCTGGACGATCAGCCCTTCCAATAAAAGACCACGGGAAGTGGGGTCACTACTTCCTTGCAAAAGCTATATGCTAGTGGTATGTTGCCATATTCTCTTGACAGTACGTCCGTTTTTGATCCACAAACTACAATAAAAACTCAATGCAGAAAATGAATGACATTGCACAAGCTGATGAAACCGATTTGCATGTAAGTCTTCTAAAGAGAGCATTGCTCCCTGGAAGAAAAAGACGAGGACGAAGTAGAATAAATCATGTGGATGGTTAAATCAACAACGAATCAACCTGACGTTTCGATGACTTCATGTCATCATTATCAAAACTTAGAAATGAAAATGGACAGATTGTATAAATAAAGAAAAAACCGATAGAAAAAGATAGTGTAAGGAAATGTAAGAGTATGCTAAATTCGAGAATGACTGAATAAAAGAAAATTTGGTAACCCTTAAGTAACCGGCAGAATGATGTGAATGAATATTCAAATGTTGCAACTCAAGTTTCGATAGAATAGGTGCCCCTTTCGTATACCTTCTTTTGACAAATGGTACCCCCTCTACACTTCTAGTATAGGACTTTGCTTTCCTTTTAACTGTTGTAAACGCACCGTCCTTTGAATATCAATAATCGCTAAACCAATTTTATTTTCTTTTTCACAGCCAAAGCCGGGATGCGTCTGATAGGCTTTTTTGTTTCCTAACGACAGATTTCCTTCCCTTTCATATAGTTCAAATAGTGAAATCCCTACCCTTATACAGCCATTTTGAGAAAGGTTGTCGAAAAAAGTGCACGCGGCAATCCCGAAAGGTATTGTGGGTGGTTTTCAGCTCACTCTTCAAAGAAATTTGAAAGAATCGCATGAGAGGCCATGGACGTATGTTTGTGAGTGCTAAAGGAAAGCAACAAAAGTAGGCTCGACAGCTACAGCGTTAGGGAACAGTGTATTGATCATATCCCACATTACCTTTCGGGGTTGTCGCGTCCACATTTGTTCGGACAACCTTTCTCGAAATAGCTGTATATTACTTGAGGCCTGATTTGGAACCTTCTCTTTTAGGCTATTATAGCGGAGCTCTAGCCCGCGAAGCGTGCTCAGCGGAGCACCATGGGTAAAAAAATGTGGTAAACTACCCATCCGAAAAACTTTGGTAATCACGTGACCGTACACCGACCGACCGACCGACCGCCCGACCTTCCGTCCGTACCACAGGCATACCGATGTAAAATAATGCAATCAATAGGTATAGCAACCCAAATGCAACTCAAGGTTTTATTTGGAAAGAAATCGCATGGCCGCCCGGACTTTTAGAAAGAAAAAACAACAACAAAGTCGTGTCTTTTTCGACGTTATTTTTTATGTGTTTACACTCACGTGGATAACAGAGAAAGAGCTAGAGCGAGTGATTGAAAACAAAAGAGACGAATTTTGTGGGAAGAAAGACATGAAAATTCAAAGCGGCTGTGAGACAATGAGAAATGCTAGCGGCTAGCAAGGTGAAAATGAGCGGCAGTGAAAAATAAAAGCGAACATGGACACACGAGACAAAATATTGGGTAAGCACATACGACAATTTCTCCATAAAAATAATGTGTAACTAGGAAGTTTGACGTTTTAGTCCTACAAAACAGCGTTGTAGTTGATCAAAACAACGGCAAAGAAAGACAAAAAGCGTGCTGCACGTGCAAATTTGTTTTTTTGCTAATTAGAAAAAAAAGTGTGCTGCACGTGCAATTTGGTTTTTTTGCTAATTAGATCTTGATGCCATTTTCCTTGCCCTCCCCGTTTAGCATTACACGATTTAATTTTTTTTGTTTACAAGTATTATTAACCAGAGCTTCGCTTTTAGCCTTGGCTAAATCTATATATTAAGGAATACCCAACGGGTATCAACGCGTATGTTGAGGAACATAAACAGACTTGAGTGTCTGATACTTATAAAAAAGGGTTATAACTTGGGTTAATTATCAGAAGACCAGTTAGCGAACACCATTAACTCTGGTTAAAAGAGCCCCTTACAATTAGTAAACTGTACGACTTTACGTTCTATAGAGAAAAACAAAGCTGCTTTTTGAGGATACTTCTCCAGTAAACATACAAGCACACATTATTTATTGCTTTTCAGAAAAATTTACAAGTTCGACATGCTCGCAAATAGCAATGGCTAATCTGACATGCTTTCGGAGCCGTAAAAGCCGTACGCTGTAAAATTATAACTATAGAAAACAAACCAATATATATACTTCCTCTAAAACGCTAAACACACGTTCAACTACAATTTAGCACTGAATAATAATAATAATAATAATAACTAGTATTATTATTACTTATTATTATTATAATCATTATTATAATTACTGTCAGGAAAATCTAAAATTCTTCTAGATCTAAAGCTAAGGTGTTAATTAATGTTTGCTTAACTTGATCTTTGGTCATCGATCATTGTGTTCATCTTAGAAGCTATTCACCCCATGCAATGAGTCACTAATAAATACACGCAATGCATTTCATTTACAACAACAACAGTATATAATGCAGAAAAAGATTATGGTTCCAATGCAGCCACCGGAAGCACCACCGGCAATTACTCCAACCCTGCTGCCACCACCTAACAAAAGAAACCAATTTGTTACTTCACTATTATATTAATGAAAACGGCAAGCAACAAACAAGCAAAACTATAACTATTTGCCGAGTTAAGATTTCGAGTTGAATTTTGAATTAGGAATCGAGTTGAATTTCGGGTTAGGATTCAAGATGAATTTTAGGTTAAGATTCGAGTTTAATTTTCGTCTCAAGATTCGAGTTGAATTCTCGAGTAAGGATTCGGTTGATTTTTAGTGGCGGAGTTTCATCCAATTTTGTTTTCGACTTACATTCAAACCTGTATTAGGTGGGCCTGCCTTAAGCGGTTCCCCTCTATTAAGCGGTTTCTGTCCCGAAAATCATTTCTCTAAATGATTTTTGTCGCGGGCACCTCTTCCGTAGTCGCAACAAGTTTAAATATTTTTTAACGGCTCCTGGCATCGCTTTTGCTGAGTCCATTCTTTAGGCACAAGAAGAGGTAGAAACACTTTGAAGTCAAAAAATCCAACTCGAATGCTAACTCAAACATCCAACTCGAAATCCAAATAAAAATGCTACATCGGAAGTTAGTTTATATCTCCAGAAATTCGTTACAAAATTACAACCAACGTACCACCCTACCGTTGACGAACAAGAACACCTTTATGAGCAAATGGCATCTAAAAATCCAACCTTTAAGAAGAATATGCAAAGACCCTCCGCTTCATGTCATTTGAAAATGGAAAATCTCTGAAAGATATCTCGGGCTTGTGTGTCGTGTTTGGCTTGTCAACACTTTATTTTTCTATGATTGGCTTTAATTAAACAATGACTTAGCGTCGATTGGTTCTGTGGTAATTTGCACGTGATCTCCAGCTAATATTTGCAAACAAAGGGAAAGGAATTCGAATGCTCGTGACGAAGCCCTAAGTCTGCGTGGGCGCCTAAGCCACCTTCACACTCGGCATAGAACTTTGTATACGACGCTCAGCCACTATTAAAAACTTCCGTCTTAATTAAAGCCCCTAGTAAAAGGTTTTGCTTCTTTTAGTCAGGAATAAACAATTTGAGTCCCGATTCAAATCTTGATTAGAATTTTGAGGCGGCATTACACCTTTACAATGACGGTGTTGGAAGAAAATAGATCAAAACGAGATCAGCGAATTCTGGAAAGTTATACAACCCTCCCTTATATAAGTTATATAGGTATATATGTGTCGCCTCAAAGGGTATGGTTTTTGCCCCGTTTCGGCCTGGAAACGGGTATAGACTTTTCCCATTTTGGTCTGGGATACAGTATGGTTTTCGAGGGAAGTGTATGAGCCTATTTATCGTTTCAATTCCAAATGAATAGGAAAGAAAGAGTGATGTGCGAATTTAAAATGGATTTTAAGATTTCTTCGGTGTTCTAATCTAAGTAATGATGACATAATTTCTGCCCATGCAGGTCTGAAAACGGGTGTGAAAATGGCGTTTTTTGGTCCGAAATAGGGTCAGCATTTGGAGAATCGGACGACACACTGCACTCCCACCAAGAATACCCAATGCATATAAGCCGTGTCTTATTTACCCATGTTAATATCGGGCAGTGCAAGCACAGAAAAAGTTTTCTACTCCATAAATCATTTACCGTCAGGTTCCACTTCACAGCATTGTCCAGAATAGCCCTCGGCAGAGGAGCATGTTCCATCGTGATTCAAACGCCCTCCGTTGAGGCAGCTCAATTCGAAACAGGCCCTTGTTTTACGAAGTATTGACGGGCAGTATCCACCACATTGTTCGGTGATTATTTTGTACCGGCTGCTGGATTCAACACCAGACACACCACAAGGAGTTGAGCAGGTACTCCAATGGGACCAGGAACTTAGCTGACAGTCCTGCCTAGTGAGTTCACTGTCGCACGACCGTGTTTCTTCCAAAATCGGGCATTCTGATCCTCCACAGCTTGGGACGATGTCTTGCCATCTTGTTCGTCTTTGGACTCCTCGTCCACCGCATCGCTCACCATAGCACGAGCTCCAATAAGTCCAAGAACTCACCTGACAATCCTGTGGAGTACATCGGCCGTCGGTGTTATGGAGACAGGAGAACGCTAACAAAATGAAAATGGTCATCTTAATCCATTCTGCACGGGCGTTTTGGGCGTCGGTTATGAGATTGTTCGTTTGGCTTTGTTCATTTATGAATGTTGCTATGTAAGCAGATATGTGCGTTGCTGTCATTGGCAGTTGAAGTTACAAATAAGGAAGTAATATCCAAACAAACGAATCATGAAATCTCTGATAACTTCTGGGGGGAGTATATGGGGAGAGGTGAATAAAGGGAGAGATCGATATACTTCTTCGGTTCGTTACCCATTTCAGTTCCAAATGTGTATTGTTCAACAATCCAATTTAAGCCTTGAACCAAAATCCCATACCCCGTTTCATGCCAGTCATTTATATTAATCCAACAAGAATATCCCAATACATGTTCCCAGCTCCTTAGTCTAAGGCGGAATGCTTCGGTTTGCCTGCAAAGTTAATTAAATCCCAGATGTTGCTTACTGATGAAATACGACCAATTTCGGACTAACAAGCTTAACATGAATGAAAAAGGATATACTGCAATGGTTATGAGGCCTGTTAGGCTTTTTTAAAGTCAAATAGGTCAGGGGGTGGGGGTCCGGGCGAATAAAGGGTGGGAGGGGTACGAGAGAAGGGAGAGGAAAGGGAGGGAGGTGGGAGCTCTAAAAAGAGTGTGTTACGAAAAATTGTATTACGTGACTAGCGTGACATTCTTGAAGCTTCGCAAGAGTTCATAATTTGTTTATTTTAGGATCTTGTGTAAGCGTTTCTAAAACGGTATATTTTGTAAGCTTTCTATAATTAGACTATTTGGAAAGTTCTAGAATCTTATTGTAGAAGTATATAAGTAGGCGAGTCCGAGTTAAGTTTTAACTAGTTTTCACAAGCGAGAGAGTTTGACGTTAGTCGTGTTTAGTCAAGTGTGACGAAGGCAGAGTTTATTCAAGTTGGCGGAGGCCATGTAAGTTTACCAAGTTAATTGAAGTTGGCGGAGGCCGTGTAAGTTTATTAAGTTAATTGAAGTTGGCGGAGGCCGTGTAAGTTTATCGAGTTACGTGCTGTTGTGGAGTTTTTCTTCGTGGAAACCACGTTCATTTTTGGAATAAATCTTCTTGTTGCTGTTCCGACAACCCTGCGTTCAGTTTGGTTTGCAAGCTACCCGTCCTCTAAAAGATTACTCGCGTAACATTGGGGGCCTTCCCGGGAGAGGAATTCAATTGTTTGCTGACCGCAGTAACCAGGAAAGGACAGTTCAAGAAAAAGGAGTGTACGGAGAAGTAAGAAGAACTGCTAGGAGGAAGTATACCGAGTGTGTTTGCTGTTAACTACTCCTGTGGAAATGGAAAAGCTTTTGCAGATAGGGAAAGAATTCGGATTGGAGGGAGAAAAACTGCTCGAGTTTGTGCGGGAGCAACAAAAGTTAGAAGAAGAAAGAAGGAGGAAGGAGGAAGAGAAAGAAGAAAAACGTAGGCAGATAGAAGAAGAAAAGGAAGAGAGACATCGATTACTTGAGGAAGACAGGAGAAAGGAAGAAGAAGAGAAAGAGGAAAGACGTAGAAGAGAAGACGAAGAAAGAGAAACTAGGCGGCAAGAACGCGAACTGAGAAAATTAGAGCTGGAAGCAGACCTGTTGAAACAGAGAGAAGCTATTGAAACCGCTAAGAGAGAGCATGAACTAGAGCTCGCTCGTCTAGCACAAGGCCGTAACGATACCGAACGTGCTGAAGTGAGAGAGGATAGGGCCAAGGCACCCAAGCTTCCCTCATTTGTTGATGGCAAGGACGACTTGGATGCTTACCTACAACGGTTTGAGAGATTCGCAGCTACAGCTACAGGATGGGCTTCGAAACTTAGTGCTCTTTTGTCTGGACGTGCCATAGAGGTTTATTCGCGATTATCTGAGGAAGCAGCCCAAGATTATGAACGAGTGAAGTTAGCTTTGATGAAGAGATATGACCTTACAGAGGACGGCTATCGTCGTAAATTTAGAGTATCAAAGCCGGAAGTTGACGAGAGTCCTGAACAGTTCATAGTGAGACTGGATAGATACTTGTTACGTTGGTTAGAACTTTCGCACACTGAACGATCTTTTGAAGGTCTGAAAGATTTAATTGTGAAAGAACAGTTATTGACTCTTGTCCAAAAGAGTTAGCTATTCACCTTCGTGAAAGAGCCCCGGAAACGCTTGCTCAGATAGCAAAGATCGCCGATCAATACTTGGAAGCACACGGGAAGCATCTGTTCAGCTCTGCGAGCAAGAAGCCACAAGTACAGCCTAAGGCGGAGGAAACAAAGACTGCGCAGAGTGATACATCAGTCCTCCAGTGTTACAAGTGTAATGCCCGCGGACACAAAGCCATTAACTGCCCAACTCTAGCTAATAGGTGTTTCCTATGTGGCAAGCAAGGTCATGAGGCGAGAAACTGTCGATCAGGTGGACGAAAGTCAGGAGGCCAAGGTAAGGATGGTAACCCTGTGCAACGTGGTCAAGTTAGTGCTGGCTGTTTGGTTAAGTCACCCGATCAAGAAGGACCTTGTCGGCGAGGATAAATTCACCGGAGACTTTAACGTTATGCTGCTTATTGACAACACTGCAAGGAAGGTGCCCATAGCAAGAATTTATGTTGATACGCCTTATCTTAAGGGCCACGTAGAAGCGCAGTGCCTTTCAGATCCTATCTACGACCTAATTATTGGCAACGTACCTGATGCCAGGAACGCACAAAATCCAGACCCCCAGTTAGCAAGAGGCCTGTGCAGTAACTACAAGAAGTCAAGCTAAGAAAAAGGACGAACGCACAGCCTTGAAGGTGCCAAGTAGCCGTGAGAGTCCTATCGTGGATAGAGAGAAGCTCAAGCAGATGCAGCGTGAAGATGAGAGTCTGCACAAGTACTGGGATCGAGACGATGTGCTAGTAAGGGGTCAGGCGGAGATTTCATTTGAAGAAAAATGTAGAGTACTGTACCGTCTGTACAAGCACCCTTATGTGAATGGTGGAAAACCGCTTAAACAAGTCATGGTACCTGAAAAGTTGAGGCGCCCCATAATGGAAGTAGCTCACGGATCGATCATGGGCGGTCACATGGGTATCAAGAAAACAACAGACAAGATCCAGAGTGCGTTTTATTGGCCTGGAATTCAAGGTGACGTGACTCGATTTTGCAAGTCCTGTGACGTTTGTCAGAAGACTGTAAGTAAGGGATCAGCGCCGAAAGTACCGTTAGAGAAGATGCCGCTAATTGACAAGTGCTTTAAGAGAGTAGCAATAGGCCTTGTTGGGCCTATCAGTCCTCCGAGTGAAGACGGACACAGGTACATATTGACGCTGGTAGATTTTTTGACTCGCTACCCTGAGGCTGTACCACTAAAGCACATTGATACGGAGACTGTAGCAGCGGCATTGGTTGATGTCTTTAGCCGTCTAGGAGTGCCCGAAGAAATCCTGAGTGATCTGGAGACTGTAGCAGCGGCATTGGTTGATATCTTTAGCCATCTAGGAGTACCCGAAGAAATCCTGAGTGATCTGGGCATACAGTTTGTCTCGGAGTGCATGAGAGAAGTTACCCGACTACTAAGCATTAAACAGCTTACAACAACACCCTATCACCCGATGTGTAACGGTTTGACGGAGAAGTTCAACGTAACGATGAAGTCTATGCTGAAGAGACTGTGTAGTGAGCAGCCAAGACAGTGGTATCGCTACATAAACCCACTGTTGTTTGCTTATCGTGAAGTCCCCCAAGAGTCCACTGGTTTTTCGCCGTTCGAGCTGTTATATGGAAGAGCTGTCAGAGGACCAATGACTATACTCAAACAGCTGTGGACGAAAGAAGTTGAGGAGCCTGAAGTGAAGAACAGTTACCAGTACGTTTTCGAGGTGCGAGAGAAGTTAGAAGATACCCTTAAGCTCGCCCATAGTGAATTGGAGAAAGCTCAGCAGAAAGGAAAGCACTATTACGACCGCAAGTCTAAGGTTAGGAAGTTTCAACCAGGTGAGAAAGTGCTTGTACTGCTACCTACCGACCATAACAAGTTACTTATGCAGTGGAAAGGTCCCTTTGAAGTCAGTTCAGTGGTAGGTCTCAATGACTACAAGGTGAAAGTAAAAGGCAAGGAGAGAGTTTATCACGCTAACCTCCTTAAAAAGTATTTTGATCGAGAGGAGACTACAGTCGAAGGAGCAGTAGCTGTTGGAGCAGGCGCTACGAGTATAGACGATGCTGTCGACTGTGCAGCTAAAGTTGATGAAGCAGAGGAAGAAGAGGTTGATCTCTTAGAGCTTGGTGGATATGTGGCCAAGGAGTCAATCGAGGACGTTAAAACTGGACCAAATCTTACGGATGAGCAACGAACTGAATTTAAGGATCTGGCTAACCAGTTCACGAATTTGTTTACTGAAGCACCAGGTACCACCGATCTCGTTCAGCATCATATTAAACTCACCTCAGACGAGCCAGTTAGATCAAGACCTTACCCAGTACCTTACAGCATGAGAGAATCACTGAGAAAAGATATCGCTGACATGATCAAAATGGGAGTTATTAGAAAGTCCTGTTCCGTACGCGTGACCTGTTGTAGTAGTGAAGAAAAAAGACAACACAAACCGCGTGTGCATTGATTATCGGAAATTAAATAAACTAACTGTATTTGATCCTGAACCTATGCCAACTGCTGAACACTTGTTCCAGAAGCTTAGTGGAGACAAGTTTTACTCAAAAATTGACATTAGCAAGGGATACTGGCAGTTAGCTATACCAGAGGAGGACATTCCGAAAACTGCGTTCGTAACACCTGACGGGTCGTACGAGTTTTTGAAGATGCCGTTTGGAATGATTAACTCGGCGGCAACACTGAAGCGTGCAATGAAGAAATTGATAGAAGATCTAGATGATGTCGACTTCTACTGGGATGATATATTGGTTCACACCCGTACGTGGGAGTGAGTGTCGAGCGATTGTATGGGGAATCAAGAGATTTCATCTATATTTGTGCGGTGTACCTTTTGTGCTGCAGACAGACTACGAGCCGCTGAAGTACATGGACAGCGAAAAATATACCAACTCACGACTCATGCGATGGGCGATGTTTCTACAAAGTTACAATTTCAAGGTGGAAGCCATCAAAGGATCAGAGAATGTCGGAGCGGATTATCTTAGCCGAGTATAAGAGTAACGTGAGAGACACCGGACTACCCCTGTTGTACATTGGCTAACAATTTTTCTGTTGTATTGGAAATTTAGGAAATTTCTTCTGAAAGGGGGTTATGTTACGAAAAATTGTATTACGTGACTAGCGTGACATTCTTGAAGCTTCGCAAGAGTTCATAATTTGTTTATTTTAGGATCTTGTGTAAGCGTTTCTAAAACGGTATATTTTGTAAGCTTTCTATAATTAGACTATTTGGAAAGTTCTAGAATCTTATTGTAGAAGTATATAAGTAGGCGAGTCCGAGTTAAGTTTTAACTAGTTTTCACAAGCGAGAGAGTTTGACGTTAGTCGTGTTTAGTCAAGTGTGACGAAGGCAGAGTTTATTCAAGTTGGCGGAGGCCATGTAAGTTTACCAAGTTAATTGAAGTTGGCGGAGGCCGTGTACGTTTATTAAGTTAATTGAAGTTGGCGGAGGCCGTATAAGTTTATCGAGTTACGTGCTGCTGTGGAGTTTTACTTCGTGGAAACCACGTTCATTTTTGGAATAAATCTTCTTGTTGCTGTTCCGACAACCCTGCGTTCAGTTTGGTTTGCAAGCTACCCGTCCTCTAAAAGATTACCCGCGTAACAGAGTGGGAAATTGAGGTGGGGGGGGGGGGGGGCGGGGGGAAATAGGGAGAAATTACGCAACAATACTCAATATTTCGCAAACTTCAAGAGCTAAATCAAGACTCAAGGAGGAAGCCAAGGATAAAGTGTGGGGAGGCGGGAATTTAAAGCAAGGAAGGGGGAGGTTTGGAACCCCCGTCCCCCCAGTAAATCAGTGGCCAATCTCAATTCATTCAGGCAGAATTTGTAAACAAAAACAAAAGATTGTTCACAGGCATTGAGTTCCAAACGTAAAATGTAGCACTACTGTTTTCATCTGTGATTTTTACCGGCTTTCCTGCAAAACATTCTTGAAGATAGCTAATAACTGTACTTGTATGAAGCATTACCCGGGGGGTCACATATACTGTCTTATCACATCTTGAAAAGATAGTGTTACTCCGGCCCTGGCCGCCCGTTTTTCAAAAGACCCGTTAAATTTTGGGCCCGAAGGCAGATTCTAGAATCGAAACCTGTTGAATTGTAGTACATTTCCTTGCTCACAAACCAGTCACTGTGCTTCGTTAACTGAGAGTTTCATTGTATCGTTTTCAAAATTATTGACATTTTGATCTTGAATGCAAACACGTCATAGCAAACATAAAACAGCTCTGCGGGCTCGAAAGCTACCGGAACATTCTAGAAACGGACCCCTGAAGGCAAAACAAGGAAGTAGTAATAGGACGACGTACGGTAGGATAAATCAAGTTGGTGGGTAATACCGGAATTGAATGAAGAAGAGAATTTCGCAGTTGCAACTTATCCTCCCCATTTGGGATTGTGTTGATAGCTTATTCACCAAGTGTCGTTGAGAAAGAGGGCACGAGGAAACGCACAAATGCGGAAGTGCATTCTTTTGTTTGAATTGTTTGCAACCGCGTACTTGACTCTGGTGATAAAAATTGACGGCTGGTATATTCAAAAGTTACTGTTGCTTAGCTGGCTCGGAACAAAAACTGAAAAGGTAAAAAAGCAGCTTTTTCTCTCACTCGCAGGTAGTGGTTGAAACTTAACAAGAAATTTGCCGATGATATATACTGGCGTAACCTGTGCAAACAATATTAAAAAAAAAAAAAAGAACTAGTAAGTAAGTTAATGAAGAGCTCTCCATTGTTTTCTCGCTAGCCCTTAATAAATTGACTTAAAACATGGAAATATCTAATTACATTATTTTCCGTCCACGTCAACTCTTTCAGTTATCCTAACGTGAAAATAAATGACAACAACTCAAATACTAGTCCAACGCTACATGGAAAATCATTTACATCAAATATTAAACTTGGCCTATATTTTGATTCTAATCTCTCTCGGAAGTATTATATAGATTACTTCTGTCATTAAAAAAAAGTAATACA